AGTTCTTGTTTTCCCCTGAGGTAATGCAGGGCTGGTAGCTATCATCTTCTTAAGTTGCAAGTTCTTCAACCTTGTTTTCGGCCTCCGGGCCATCCCGCGCCAGAGAGGCAGGGAGGGGCAGGGAGAGGTGCTTGGCTGCGCTGGGGGGCGTGAGCCCCCGACCGCGTGCCGCCCCCCCTGAGTGTGGGGGGGCCGGCCAGGCCGTTCCCTGCACGAGGCTGCGCTGGGGGGGCGGGAGCCCAAAGGGTCTGTTCTTGCAGAAAGCTTGTTGTCCTCTGCTCCTTGGCTGGGCACCTGCATGTTCACCGAGTCCCCTCGCCACATCCTGCCAGCCCAGCCCAGTGAAATCTGTGCACATGGGCCTGAGGCCTCAGCACAGCCCAGTGGAAAGGGTTAGAAAGTATCCTCCAAGAGTAACTGGGAGGGACCAACAGATGGCCTAATGGTTACATCACTGGACTTTCACGTAGTGGACCTTGGTTTGAGTTCTGGATCCTGCAGTTTAAAAACTAATGCCAGTGTGTGTGTGTGTGTGTGTGTGTGTTGTGTGTGTGTGTATGTATGTGTATGTGGTGTGTCCAAGACCCCGAGAGGAGAATGGAGGAGAAAGGATTGTGGTGTGGCCATCCCCCTGAGGGGATGATTTCTCGTTTTCTGTCTCTGTCTCTTTCTGTCCAGTGAACACAAATGCTCTATACCAGAAATCTCTCTCTCTCAAAAAAAAAATCAACTGGAAAATAGCAGTGGGCGGTTGACATGTTTCTGACCTACTGTCTAGTTTCTTTGGCGCCAAAGCTCATGGGATCCATGTGAAAGCCGTTGCTAGGTTTGAGGGAGTGTGGGGCTAATAAGTGGGTCACGATGGTCTAACTCTATGCATGTGGCAGCTACAGTCAGAACTGCAGTCATCTGTCAGAGAAAAAGACAGCGCCAACATACTTTTCGTGTGTCTCTAGTTTATTTGTGCCAATGCATTTATGCCATTGATCCAAGACCAATGAACTTGACAACACAGGTTTTCTAGCTGCAAGACTTGATACATTGTTTTCACTTTATTTTTTTAAATTTGCCAAGAGGCACTTGTGCTGGCCAGACTGGGAGAGAGAGAAAGTGAGAAAATACCCCCTCGGGACTGCCATCCCATCTCCATTTTTCCTTCTTTTAGAATTTGGGACATGCATACACACAAGCACCTGGAGGGTCTTTCAAGCCTCCGGGTCTGGGACTTGAACCACACAGTTAGTCATGAGGGATTCAGACACCCTAACCAACATTCCACCAACTGCCCCTCATTTTTTTATTTGTGCTTGTATATTGGTTGGAAATGGTGATTTTTAAGATATGGCTATGTCTGTCTAAAAGACAGTTCATTTTAGTGTATTTTACATCTGTCATGCTGACAGAATTTCAAGTGGGGTCACCTGGGTCAGCCACAGCAGCCTTCTCCCACCCCAGCCTGTGCTGTCAGGGAGGCCTCCACAGAGATGTCCAAACTGAGATCTTAGGTGGGAGTAGGAGTCAGACAGGGCTACAGGAGGATGACCACAGGAAGAATGTCCACCTCTGTGCCCAGATGCGGTAGGGGCCCTTGACGTTGCTGCTTGGCAGGCTGAGGCCAATGGGAGGCCTGGGGTCTGTTCCCAGCCCACCCTGAAAAGCCCGGCATGGCTGTGTGTGTGCCTGTAGTCCTAGCTGCTCAGGAAGCTGAGGCAGGAGGATCACAGGCTCAGTCTCAAAGAGCAGGGTGTGGTAGCACATGCCTGTGGCCCCAGCTACTCCGGAGGTTGAGGCAGGAAGATCATGCACACACAGACAGTTACACACACAGACACACAGATGTACCAGAGACAGACATACACACACAGACACCCACACACAGACACATAAATATGCCAGAGACAGACAGACACACACAGACACCCACACACAGACACCCACACACAGACATATAAATATACCAGAGACAGACAGACACACACAAACATGCAGACATACACAGACACACACAGACACCCACACACAGACACCCACACACAGACATATAAATATACCAGAGACAGACACACACACACAAACATGCAGACATACACAGACACACACAGACACCCACACACAGACAGTTACCATCTCTAGACAGCCATTTACTGACTTCTTCATGGCCAAAGAATAAGTCTAATGTATCTGACAGATTCATTTTTATTAAAAGCAGTATTTTCTTGGATTCCTAAAAACATTGTTGCATTTTCCTAGGTGGCATCAAAGATTCCCTTTGCCACCGATCTGATAGATAATGGGAAAATACCAATGAATTCGTCCGGAAAATTGAAACAAAACAAAGAAAAATCATCACCATCAAGTAAAGAAATAAGGTTGGTAACCGATTGTGATTTGGCCCTTCCTGGGCTCAGCCACCTGCTGGCGATGCTTTCGTGCCTCCATGAGCAGGTGCTTAGCGCCCCCTGGATGTCCAGGCTTGTGGTGGGCTCTAGGAATAGAAAGGTGAGTGTGAAAGACACAGTTCTGGACCTCAGGGATCTCCTATAATCAGTCATGGTCAGCTTACCACCAGTGCCAAGAACATCACCTGCAGTGGGCAGTGCTGAGGCATGGGCAGGAGCTCGAGGTCTGCCCTCCCGAGCTGCTGCCCTGCCCGTCCTGCCTCTTCCTGCCCTCTCTCACATCTTTCATCTCGTTCCATCCAGCCCCTCTTTTTCAGACCTGACACTCAGGGCTGCATGTTGAGGCCTTTCCTTGATGGATGCAGGGCGAAGGTTAATGAGCCTGGACAGCCAGGGGGCACTCCTGTGTCCGAACCACAGGAGAGACTAGAGGGGCTGAGGGGAGGCCAAGTTGCATGTTGGTCAGCTGAAGGAAGCCCCGCCCAGAGAGTGACTGCTGGGACGTCACGTGACATTTAGAAGGCTGCCTCACTGACACTGAGATGCTTTAGGATTTCAGTGTCTGGCCAGGTGATGGCCAACCTGCTAAATAGGCATAGGTGTCACCCCTGAGAGTGGCACAGTTAGTCGTCTGGTCCTTCTGGGATCCTCGACGGGCCACACGAGAGCCAGAGCTCAGGAGAGCAGGGGAAGTGTGGTGCCAACCTGGGACCAACACAAGGGGAGCAGGAGGAGCCCACAGCTGCACTGTTAGTTCAGTGATGTAGGATGGGTAGAGCAAATGGGGCTTAGGAAGGCCTGAGGGTGTGACAGGCTGCAGGGAGAGTCCTCAGAGCAGGGTGTGCCCCATTGCACCTGAATCGGGGGTACAAAGATGGAAGCTGGATCCCTCGTGGGTGTCAAGGTGAAGAGAGGGGCTCAGTTGTAAAGGGGGACAGCACAGCTGCTCTGGGGTCCTGGGATATTAACCCTTTCACCTCATCGATAGCAATTTCTTTAGTTTTCCTTTGCTCACAAGTTCAGTATCTTGCTTTCTCAGCCCCTCACTGGTTTAGCCTTTGCACCTGGGAGTAAGCACTGAGCCCCCTGTCCTCTCAGCTCCTCGGGGGTCGTGGTCTGTATTGACGAGCAACCCACGACTGAGCCTCAGTGTGCGTGTGCCTTCTTGCCGAGGTCGTTCACACTCTGCGTACCTCCATGCACTTCCCAGGCATGTTGGGCAGCCCCAGGGTGGCCCGGGACACCACTAGAAGGCCCTGAGATACCAGCACCACCTTTCTGACCCATGCCCAGGCCTGCTGTGGGCTGTGGCCAACAGCATGCAATAGAGGGCCTCAGAGCCAGAGTAGAAGGGAAGAAGGTAGCTTGTATCTTGGAGACGCCAGGCCTGGCCAGCCTGACCTCACTGCTTGGTCTGCACAGCCTGCATGTGGTCCACTGCTCAGTCTGTGTCATGTCCCCTGGAGCCCATGTACAAATTGAGAGACCTGGAGGAAGGTCACTGTGGTGTGAGATGTGGGCTGCAAAGTTCAATGTCCTGTTTGGGAAAATTCCCCTCTCACAGATGCCTAGAATGTTTGGGAAGAATCTTGAAGGTCATTCAGGTTGGATTAACTTTCCAGCCATGGAGAAATGGTTTGGACTAAAACTAATAGCATTCAAATATTCTTTTATATCCTCCACGGAGTCTAAGTTGCTGTCATTAACCTTTAAAAAGTCCACAGCAGACCATAGTGACCCACTAACCCCTCATCACCCTGGACACAATTAAGAAGGGGGTCTGAGATGCTGAGACAGTCATTTCTAACTTGGGGTCTGTATTCTACAGGATTTGAGAGGTTGTTAATGCTTCCTTTTCCGTAGTTATTCTGACAAGTAAACAAAACTGACAGAAACCCTGCTTCAGGGAGCCAAGGAGAAGCATGTGCCATTTGTGTTCATGTGTGGCCTGCTACACCCTGGGGTTCCATGCTTAGACTCAGCCAAAAGAGGCAGCCACCCCTCTCCATGATGCCGTAGTATTCAGGTCTAGTCTATCATTCTAAGTTGCTGTATTTAAAAATCAATGAATATCAGTCGTAAAGCTCTAAGCCCCAACGCTAACAGAGAAAGTATTTAAAATTGTAATTTAATGCAATTTTCTGTTCCTCTAAGTATGCAGTAAAACTGCACACAGTAGTCCCATCTTATCCACGAGGGGTGCATGGATGTCTGAAACTGCACATAGCACTGACCCTATATATACTGTGCTCTTCCTATACATACATACTTTTGGTAAAGTTTAATTTATAAAATAGGAACAGTAAAAGATGAATAACAACTAAAAATAAGATAGAATAATTATTACAATATACTGTAATAAGAGTTACAGAATATGGTCTCATTATCTTTCCCAAAATACCCTGGAAGGTACTCGCCCTTCTTGTGATGAAGAAGGAATGAAGTGGGATGATACAAGATTTCATCATGCTATCCACAATGGCATGCCATCCAAAATTTAGAAATTATTTATTTCCAGAATTTTTAATTTAATATTTTCAGACCTCAGTTGACTGTGGGCACTAAAACCACATAAAGTGAAACCACAGCTAAGGAAGGCTACTATAATTCAGATGAAAACAGAGCCGTGCTCTTTCGGGGCCATCGCCAGAGTGGCAGCGGCCAAAATGAAGTTCAATCCTTTCGTGACTTCTGACCGAAGCAAGAACCATAAACGGCATTTCAATGCATCTTCCCACATCTGAAGGAAGGTTATGTCTTCCCCCCTTTCCAAAGAGCTGAGGCGGAAGTACAACGTCCGATCTATGCCCATCTGAAAGGACGATGAAGTTCAGGTTGTGCGAGGACATTATAAAGGTCAGCAAACTGGCAAAGTGGTCCAAGTTTTCAGGAAGAAATATGTCATCTGCCTTGAGTGGGTGCAGCAGGAAAAGGCTAATGGCACAACGGTCCATGTCGGGATTCACCCCAGCAAAGTGGTTACCACTAGACTGAAGCTGGACAAAGACCGCAAAAAGATCCTTGAACAGAAAGCCAAGCCTCGCCACGTAGGAGAGGAAAAGGGCAAATATAAGGAGGAAACAATTGAGAAGATGCAGGAGTAAAATAATCTTATATACCATTCTTATGAAAAACTGCTAAAATGGAAAAAAAAGAAGAAAACAGAGTCTCACTGTTTTCCTTCATGGAGCATTGGTGCAGGGTCTTGAAGGTGGAACATCTTAAGTGAAGCTGACATTTTTAAAGTCTCATGTGTGTTCTAGCAGCATTTAAACTACTGAAGAGAGGGAGCCCAGGCCCCAAGAGTTGGTGTCTGCAGAATGAACTGGTGGCTAGCAAAGCACAGGGTCACCATGTCATAGCCACATGGGAGCCTCAGGACCACAGCTTGATCTGGGGGGAAAAAAAATCCTATTCCCTGACTAGAATCAGAATTAGTAGGACTGGATTCAAAGTGTAAAATAATTTTCCATATTGCTCTTTGTTTTCTCAGTGCCTTCCGAGAGAGGAATTTACAAGAGAAGATAAAACAACACATACAGCAAATGCATGGAAGAAAAAGGTTTGGAGGGACAGCACCACTGGAGGAAATGAGGAAGGCTGTTCAGGATTTGGAAATTGCAAGTATTTTTCAGCTGTTTAAGAAAATTGTTTTATTGGAGCCAGCAGGTGTTATAATGATTATGGCATTAGACTCTCACATAGCTGACCATGGTTCAAGTCCGGGCGGCTTGAAAATTACCCCAGCTGTGTGTGTGCATGCCCAAAATCCCAGGAGGAGAATGGAGGAGAATGGATTGTGGATTGGGGTGTGGCCACTCCCCGGGGGGTGGGGAGTGATTTCTCACTTTCTCTCTCACTGCTTCTCTCTCTCTCTAGTGAGCGCAGACGCCTTGTGGCAAAATCCTTTAAAAAAATTATTTTATTAAAAATCCAAGGAAACTTGCTATGCTTTTTCAGAGCAGATTCTGTGATTTGAAAGTGTTCCCCCAAAAATTCATATGTTGAGATTTGATTGCAAAAAAGATTAAGAGAGTGAAAATTTAATCTGACTGTGGTGTTGAAAGATGAGGCTTTGGGAAAGAGATTAGGACTGAGGTCATTAGAGTGGGCTCCCATGGTTGGGGGTAGATTTGTAAGAAGAGGAAATGAGACCAGAGAAACATACACATGCCGGTTCCTGTGTCCTGTTGTGATGCCCCAGGACACCCCCCCAGCAAGAAAGCCCACACCAAGTATAGCCCTTGGACCTTGGACTTCCAAACTGTGAGCCAAATAAATCTCTATTCTCTTAAATTACCAAGGCTCAGGTATTTTCTGTTATTAATAACAGAATGGACTGGAATATCATGCACTCCGTAAAGCTATGGAAATGTGTTTGATGTGTCTTATAGTATGAGACATTTCCAAAATTGCAGTTGGTCAGATGATAAGGAAAGGTTGCAGCCAGGGGTGTGAGCTTTCAGATGTGTTGGGTGACCTGACAGGACTCCAGCATCTCAGCACTTAATATCTGATGGGACTAGTGGCACCCTGATAATGGAAACCAGAGGCCAGTCCACTCTACATATCTGTGGGATCCTTGCTTGACAAAGACATTTATAAGAAAGGAAAACCAGATCAGTCTCTTCCATAATATAGGTTCAGAAATTCTCAACATTTACAATGAAATTCTGCAATGTATAAACATAATTATACATGACAACCAAGTAGGATTTATTTCAGGTATGCTGGGTTGGGTCAAACAAAAACAAAAATCAATTAATGTAATCTATCACATTAACAAGCTAAAGAAGAAAAATAATTTACCTCATTAGATGCATTAAAAGTATTTGAGAGATGGGATCTGCAGTTGGTGTAATGGCTATGTCGCTGAACTTCCATGTAGTTGACCATAGTTCAAGTGCCAGACCTGGTGGCTTAAACTTATATTGGGTATATGTGCGTGTGTGCCCAAGATCCCAAGAGGATAATGGAGGAGAAGGAATTGTGGTGTGACCATCCTCCCGGGGAGTGATTTCTCGCTTTCTGTCTCTCTTTCTATCTCTTTCTGGTGCTCACACGTGTCCTGTAGCAAAAACCCCTCAAAAAAAAAAAAAAAAAGTATTTGAGGAAGTCCAGTACCCATCTTGATAAAAACTCTGAGTTAACCAGGAGTAGAGAGGAACTTCCTCATTTGGTAAAGAATATCTATTCACACCTACAGTTAGTATACTAAATGATGAGAAACTAAATGTTTTCCCACTAAAATAGGAGCAAAGTAAGAATGTCCCCTCTCACCCCTGTCACCCTTTCAATAGTGTACTAGAAGTCCAAGCTAAGACAATGAGACAAGAAAAGAAAACAAAAGGTACATAGATTCAGAAGAAAGAAATAAAATCATCTTTGTTCTTAGATGATATGATCATCTATATAGAAGACTCCAAAGAACTGACCCAAGAAAATTCCTGGAACCAAGCATTATAGAAAAGTTACTAAATATAAGACTAATATACAAAAATTAATCACTTTCCTATAGACTAGCAATCAATAAATCAATTTTGAGATTAAAAAATGTCATTTAAATTAGCACCCAAAACATGGTAAAAGTATGATTCTAACAAAATGTGTACAAAATCTATAGGAGGAAAACTATAAAACCCTAGCTATAAGAAATCGACAGACTCAGTAAATGGGCAGATAGTCCATGTTCATGAATAGGAAGACTCAATATTGTTATGTCAGTTCTTCCCAGCTGGCTCTTTAGATTCAATGCAGTCCCAGTTAAAATCATAGCAAGTTATTTTGTGGATATTAACAAACTGTTTCTAAAGTTTATACAGAGAAGGGAAAGACCCAGAATATCCAACAATCTTAAAGGAGAAGAACAGAGTTATAGGACTAATACTATCCTAACTTCAAGATCACTGTAAAGCTACAATAACACGGTATGGTATTGTCAGAAGAATAGACAAATAGAATAGAGATCCCAAAGTAGACACATATAAATATGGTTAACTCTTTGACAAAGGAGCAAAGGCAACTCAGTGGAGAAAGAATAGTCTTTTCTTCACATCATGCTGGAACAGTGGAAAAAAAAAACAAACAAAAAATAATCTAGACTCCAAATTTATACTCTTCATAAAAATTAACTCAAACTGTATCACAAGCATAAATATAAAATATGAAACTATAAAACTCTTGGAAGATAAAAATGAGAAAAACTTTAAATGTGAAATGTGAAACTATAAAATGCTTAGAAGATAAATATAAGAAAACCTGGGTATGGTGATGATATTTTAGATGTCACACTGAATGTATGATGCATGAAAGAAAAAATTATAAATCGAACTTCATTCAAATAAAATAAACATCTGCCCCGTGAAAAGCACTGTAAAGGATGAGAAGACAAGCCACAGACTGGGAGAAAATACTTGCAAAAGACAGATCTGATAAAGGATTATTATCTAAAATATACAAAGAACTCTTAAAAGGTCAACAAAAAAATAAAAAATAAAAACAACCCAAATAAAAAGTGGACCAAAGATCTGAATAGACACTTCAACCAAAGAAGGTAGACAGATGAAAAATAAGCACATGAGGGAACCAGCAGTTACCGTAATGGCTATGTCGCTGGACTCCCACGTAGTCGACCGCGGTTCACGTCCCGGATCCGGTGGCTTAAAACTCACGCCGGGCGCATGTGCGTGCGTGCCCAAGATCCCGAGAGGAGAATGGAGGAGAAGGGATTGCGGCGTGACTATCCCCCCTGGGGGGTGATTTCTCGCTTTCTGTCTCTATGTCTCTCTCTGTCTGTCTGGCGAGCGCACGTGCCCTACAGTGAAAATCTCTCCAAAAAAAAAAAAATAAGCACATGAAAAAATGTTCTGTATCACATGTCATCAGGGACATCCAAATTAAAATAATGAAAAATGTTATAGCCACACTGGAAGACTATTTGGCAGTTTCTTATAAAACTAATCATATTCTTACCATACGCTCCAGTAGTGGTGCTCCTTGGTGTTCACCCAGAGGAGTTGAACACTTACGTCCACACAACAACCTGCACACAGATATAACTTTATCCTAATTTATTTGTAATTGCCGAACTCAGAGGCAACTAAGGTATCCCTCAGTAGGTGAATGCATAAACTGTAGTATAGTCAAACAATGGAATATTATTTAGCTCTTAAAGGAAATGAGCTATTGAGCCATGAAAGACATGAAAGATCCATAAGTGAATTATTAGCAATGAAAGAAGCCATTCCGAAAAGGCTATATATTGTGTGATTCCAACTCTATGACCTTATGGAAAAGCCAAAATATCAATACAGAGACAGTAAAAGGGCCAGTGGTTGCCAGGGACTGGGTTGAAAGGTGATGAAGAAGCAGAACACAGATGTTCAGTATTCTGTATGATCCTATAATGGTGGGTATATATCATGATACACTTGTACAACACCAAGGGAACCCTAATCTAAACTGCAAATCCTGTGTGGTGATAATGAAGTGTCTATTTAGGATTATCAAATGTAACACTCTGGCGTGAGATGAAAAGTTTATTAGTTTTCAAATGGTCTATTTGGAAAGCCGAAACCTGAAAGCTGGCTCTGTGTCCTCACTGTTCTCCTGTGTAACTCTATCTCAAAAGCAGGAGCCCAAACTGCCCTGGCTAACCCCAAAGAGGGGCAGTCACTAGGCCAAAATAGAATGATTTAAAAGGAAACTCCAGTGGTTGGTCTCAAATGCCTAGCCCAGCCCAAGTACAGCTCTTCATTGACTTTCACACGCGCTTTATGGGGAAGCTGGTGACATCCCCATTTCACAGGTCAGAAAATTGAGACAAAGATGCTGTGGCTAGCCCAAGGTGATGCTGTAAATGGTGGCGCTTTGAGTTGGACCCAAGTCTGTCTCACTCTAAACCCGTTTCCAAGTACCACTCTGACTCATAAACCAAGAGTTCACTCTCTGAATATCTGCCTCTGATCTGTGATTTAAAAAAAAAAAATCCACATTAAGTTTCTTATGAAATATTCAAGTCAGTCCCACTGAGTTCGTGCTGAGTGTCTGGCTCAGAGCAAATGCTGAAATCCAGAGAGGAATGTGATGTGCAACCCCTGCCAAAGAAGCTGGAAAATAAATACCCTTGCTTCTCTCGGACAGCACGGCTCAGGAGCAGTGTCTGAGCACAGGGGCGGGTCCCAGCCTGTCTGGGCAAGAAGATGCTCACACAGTGACCCGGAATCGCTGCTGCAGCTCCTCATTTCACATTGTTGGCTCCCTTCACCCCACATCCTGGCTTGAGAGAGCCGGAGGAAGGAAGGGTTTTTAATTCCCAAGAATGCAGTTGGGAGGCAACCGACCTTGTCCTGGAAGAAGTGTGTTGGCTTTTCCTCCACTCGGATCTTCTTCCTCCTTTATCCAAGCCCCTTTCATGGAGCGCTGGACTCTAAAGTGGGAGGTGACGGGCTCCCTGAGAGTGGCTAGAATGGCATTGCAGATGTTGTGGTGCATCTGATGGCTTCATTTTTAGGAGGCAATTTTAATTGTAGGTTTTTGTTTCCTGAAATTTGCTTTCTGGGTTTCCTATAGACCAAGTCCCTTTCAAATGACAGTCTTTTTTTTTTTTTTTTTTGAGAGGTTTTTGCCTTAGAGTACAAGCACTGGGTGGAAAGAAAGAAAGAGGAAATAGTGAGAGGGAAAGTGGAAGTTACCCTTCAGGGGGGATGACCACTCTGCAATCCCTTCTCCTCTATTCTTCTCCCAGGATCTTGGGCATGCGCCTACATGTACCCAATGTGAGTTTCTAGCCACTGGATCCTGGACTCAAGTTACAATCGACCACATGGGAGTCCAGCATTGTAACTGTTACGCTATCTGCAGGCTCCAGTGACAGTCTTTTTTAATGCTGTCTACATAGGACCACTAAAAAAATAATAAAATTCTGTGTTCTTTAGACTTGGTAGTGAATCTACTCATAGAGTCATGGCAAGAACATTCAAATCTGTCTGCCAGTAAAGTCTTGGGCTTCGTCAGAAGAGTCAGTCTTTCCTTCTGCCTCCACAAGCCAGAGCTGACTGTTTTGGATCCCCAGGCAAGATGTAAGCTTCTGTAAACCCTGGAGCAGTGTTGGAGAGGAGCCTGGCCCTGTGGCTGCACCACTCCATCCTGACCCATGGAGAGTGTGGAGGCCCCTTGGTGAGGTGGGCCCACAGTTGGGTGAGACACAGTTTGCACAACTTGCACATCCAGGGGAGAGAGAATGATACATGTTTGCCTCCAACCCTTAGAAGTAGAGTTAGTCTTGTTCAGCTGCCTTTCCCCCACCTGGCATTGCTTTAGAGCACCTGCTCAGTGCCATACATAGCATATGGCATGTGATCACTTGGTGCATCCTCCCTCCATGGGCCAGGGATGCTGACCTATTGGGAGAAGGTGAATATAGAGTTGTAGGGGAGGAGCAACTGAAGGCAGGTCAGACCCATTAACTAGGACTTGCATTAGATTGGAAATCCAGGATGGATGATCAGGTGAAGGAGCTGAAGCAAGCCCAAACAGATGAAAAGACAATTTTTTCTTTCTTTTTTTTTGGAGAGATTTTTGCTATAGGGCACGTGTGCTCGCCAGAAAGACAGAGAGAGACAGAGAGATAGAAAGCGAGAAATCACCCCCCAGGGGGGATGGCCACGCCGCAATCCCTTCTTCTCCATTCTCTTCTCGGGATCTTGGGCATGCACACACGCCCGGAGTAAGTTTTAAGCCACTGGGTCTGGGACGCGAACCGCGATCGACTACGTGGGAGTCCAGCGACATAGCCATTACGCTAACTGCTGGTCCCATGAAAAGACAATTTTGAAAACAAACCAGCCAACAGACATGGCCCTTCAAGGTAAATGTGGCTCACTTTATACATTGGTTAATCTTCACTCCACCCTGAAGCCCCACCAAAATGACCAAAAAGGGAGAAAAACCAGTAACTCCTCTAGATAGAAAATAGAGAGGAGCTGTTTATAAGAGAGGTTGACTTTCTCTGCGGTCTTTCCTAATAGAGCCATAAGTGTTAGCTGGGCAAAAACCACTCCACAAAAGCCCATGTTTCCCCACATCCTTTGCAGAAACACAGGGACACATAACTGTGTTCTGGCCAACAGGATGTGAACAGAAGATACATGTGAACTACCTGAGCTTTGTCCTCTTCTCTCCTGGCTGGAATTCAAACATGATTGCAGGAACTGGGGCAGCCATCTCAAAGCCAGGGGTGTAAGCCATGGACTATGGATACAGAATAACCGATAGTCTGTAGGAGAGTAGAAGTCTCTAATACTGGCCAGAATGCAATCACATGTCCCTGTCTAGCTGTCCTCTCAGAGAAAGCACTCCACCTGGTTTTCAGCCACTGTCATCTGGACCTTTGGTTCTGCAGCTCACCCTGTAACCTACTACATACAGAGGCCAGCGCTGTTCTATAAGAAGAAAGCCGCCTAGTGGTGCAATGCCAAGGACCTGCTGAGAGCAATGCCAATTAAGATGTAAGAGAATTCATTCACTGAGCTCCCACAAAATCACAGGAATTCAAAACTAAAAACAGAGGAATTGACATTTGAAAGTATATACCAGAGCAAGCTAGGTCCCTGCTCAGCCCTCTGCCTTCACTAGCCTACCCAGCAGGAGACATGGAGTATGATGTCTAGAGAAATTAAATGACCAGGCATTGTAGATGTGATGACAGCAGCCACTTGCTGCCTCTCTGAGCCCTGAGGAAGAAATGTGTACGCACCAACTAGGAGGCCCAAACTGGCTCTTCAGCAAGGAGCTGGTACATCCTCTCGTCCAGTGAGAGATCAGCTGACCAACATGAGAGCCACATGGGTATCCCCCAGTCAAGCTACTCAGTCCTGAGCTGACCAGTTGGCAACTCCACCACCATCACATCTAGATCTAATCTTCATTACAAGGTTTCGTTCTTGAGTGCAAGTTAGAGAACTGAAGATCCTCTGTCCTTTGAGGAAAGCTCCAATATGAAGGCAAGACCTAAAGGTAATTGGGAAAGTGAGCTTTGGATAAACGAAGACATTAATAGAAACAAATCAAAAAATTACAAGTTAGAATTAAAATTCTCTGAGCAATAATGGAAAATGCTGTTAGCATAAAATATAGCATGTTGTTATAAAAACTGAACACTTGGGTAACTATGAACTACTGGAAGTTAGAAACATGGCAACATTGTCTTTTTTTAATGTTTAGATCAGGTCCAGCCTGGGTGGTGCATTCTGTGACATACTGAACTACAATGCTGGAAGCTACATGGCTGACTGAGTTTGGATTCCTGGCCCAGTCACCCTGAAACACAGAAGGCATACACACATGTGCCTAAAATCTTGACAAACTGGGAGCCAGAGGAAAGGGATTCAGCATGAGAAGACCCTGTTGAGGGTACTTTTGTCTATCTGCCTATCTCTGTCTCTCTATTTCCCTCCCTCATGCATGCGCACACACTCTCTACTTTCTATTAAGAATTTTTTAAAAAGAAAACAAGGTTTCAATCGATATATGAAGTTGAATAAATCCCCCCAAAATGTAACAAAAATAAAAGGAAAGATGTAAATTAGAGACAAGATTTTCTTAAAAAGGCAAAAACTTGAGGATTACTGCAAGGGGTTTTACATCAAACTAACAGGTTCCAATAAGAGATCCTCAAGTTCTTGGGGAAGAAATTTATAAATAAAATAGGCTAGGTGGTGGCATAGTGGAAAGGTAAATTGGACCCACATGGAACAAAAGGCCCTGGGTTCATATCCCTGGACCTCCCTAAGCACACTGGATATGTGCATTCTCTCTCTCTCTCTCAATCTCTGAAGAAATAAATAAATAAACTCAAAGAAAGAAAGAAGATACAAGAAACTTTTTCACAGTGACTGTGTTTCCAGACTGAAATCCCCACCAGCACATGTGCAACACCATGATTCAGCATACTGAGCCAGGGCAGGCAGACAGGTGCAAATCCCATGAGATCCCAGGGAAAGGTGGTGGGCATTCATAGGTACTAGGAACTAAGAGTAGAATTGGACTTGTCACAGCCAGGGAACATCACCAGCAGAATCTGCTGAAATTCTCTACTTAAGTCACATTGCCAAGTTGTTAGGGGTCAGCATAGGTTAAAGACATTTTCAGATATGCAGACTCAAAAATGTTACTTCCTACCTAACCTTTCTCTGGAAGCTACTATAGAATGCATTCTACCAAAATAAAGGAGTAGACCATGAGAGTGGGAGGTAAGCATTCCCCCAAAAAGGATTTGACCCAAAATAGTGTCCTAGGAGCTCTCCTAAGCTGTCTGCTGGTGAGATGGAACCTATCAAGGCTCCCATGCTTTCCTATATGGGAGAAAAAAAATCAGCCTGAGGATGTAACCAAGTAGAGAAGACTATCGAGAGATTCATAGTTTGGGAGGATTTAATGACTGGCATGCAGACGATAAAGTAAAATTTTGAAAAAGAGGCAATTATTAATTTCACAAAATAATGTAGATTTCTATAATAAGCAAAATGTAGTCTCAAAATGAAGATTATATTTGGATAAGTATCAAATGGTATTTCCCCAATCATTATTATGGAAACCCTGAATGGTCATTTAATGCACAATTGTGATGTAGCTATATTAGGAGAGGAGGGAGTCTCAGGGAGTGGGGGCTGGGCTAGAGGTAGAGGTCCCAGCTTGTGGCCCCAGGAATCTAGAATGAAGGAGATCCGAGAGGATGAAGGCTCTCATCTTTAGCATTGGGGGGAATGGGGGTTGCGGCACTACAGACTTAAGTGCCCACTGGGCAGAGGCAGGAAGAAGCCTGCTCCTTGGCTTCTGGCAATCTTTTCCTCTTTGAGGGCTGTGGCACCTCCTCCTTAGTTTCACCTTTTTCTGGTCAGTAGATTGGCTGGGGAACATGGGATTTGAAAGAGAGGATGCATCTGATTCCAGGGTCAGCAGTTTGTTTCCAGTTAGGAACCCCTGACGCTTACCTCAGTTTCCGTGAGGTAAGGGTGGCAGTCGTGTCTACATCTGCCTCCCAAAGCAGTTGTGAGTTTCAAGTGGGGTCACAGTTGTGGGAGTGTTTGCCAGCCACCTGCCTGGGGGCTGGTACTAGCCTTAACTCTGTCAGCAGGACAATCTTCTGATTCCCTGTTCATCCGCTCACTCACTGGCATTTATTCAGACTACTGTCTGCACGGTTCACCTGAATGGAGCCTATGAGGGCCAAGATGAGTCCTTTGCAAGTGCCTGAAGAAGTTGATATTATCACAGGGCGGGAAGGCTTGAAAGCTGGCTGGGAGCAGGCTGCAAGGGGCCCATCACAAAGGGGGCCACTCTTGTGATGTAGCCTGAGTAAGTTGCATGGGGAAGGGAGCCAACTCTGCTTATGCCCAAATTCTCTGGGCTCCACATGGATTCTGTTTGAACGAGAGATACGGTGACATCTGAAGTTTTGCCGACCTTTCTAACTTTTCTCCCTCTCTTTCTCCCAAAAGGCCAAAACATTACAGGATGAAGTAATGAAACTAAAATTGGGAATGACCTTGAACAAAGAACATTCATTTACAACGGTCACTGGAAACCTTTCGCTTCACCCACCAACATCACAGCCTCAAAATATATTTTTTAACACAAAATATTAAGAAAATGTTTACAAATACTAATGACAAGCATTGACTGTACTGATCGAAACATCTTCAGACATGAAAAACCCACTCATCATTGCTTTCTTTCTCAGGCGTCTTCTCTTGTATGGTGATGGGGGAGTATTAGGATTCAATGTTATTCTTAGGATTTATTTCACAAACTGCCTGTTGTTTTTAAATAAATCTGTATTTCTTTTCTGAGGCTGTAGAAAGTTTAAGCTGCATTAAAAGAAAGAGAATACTGTAAGAAAGCCACACTGTTCTCATTTCTAGCAACATATTTCTCCAATTCAATTGACTGGATGTTTTAAATAGCGCCTGCCCCTCTTCCTGTCCCCCATCCCTTTGCAGCTCTGGTCACAAATGTAATTACAGGTTTCATTAGTTTATTTTAGTGTTGGTGGAGGAGGTTAGTTCACCTGATTCCAGCTGAGTCAGAAGCTCCAGCAATGGCATCTTTGGCCAAGAGGGAGGGGTGACAACCACAAGAGATTTTGGGAGAACGTTTATTTCCTCCCCAGTGATGGTGTTTTTCTGATTTGGCCTTACCCTTCCTGGTGGCTGACCACTGAGCATGCACACTAAGGTCATACCGCTGCCCTGTGGGAGGTGTCCCCAAACTTTCCTGTCACAGATCAGTTTTTTGTTTAACATTCTTTCTACTTAGGCTATTCAGATTCTGTGTGGTTTAGTTGCTTGCACTGAATGTTTGATAGGATATTAAATACAGGCTTACTCTTCATTTATTTAGCAGATGTAGGGCTATTTAGACTTTCTATTTCTTTTTGTGTCGATTTGGTCAATATCTTTTTCAGTGAATTTTTCCATTTTATCCAAGTTGTAAAATGTATTAGCATAAAATTCTTCATAATATCTTTTTTTCCCAATGTCTCTAAGATCTGTAATTAGTGTCTCTTTCCTTCTTTCCTTCCTTCCTTCCGTCTTTTCTTTCTTTGCTTTCTCTCTCTCTCTCTTTTTTTTTAACAAGGTTTTTGCCTTAGGGCACATGCATTTGCCAGAGAGAGAGAGACAGACACAGTGAGAGGAAAGTGAGAAATCACCCCCCAGGCGGTATGGCTATGCTGCAATCCCTTCTCTTCCATTTTCTTCCTAGGCACACATGCATATATGCCTGGCATGATTTTCAGGACACTGAGTCCAGGACTCAAACTGCAGTTGGCCATGTGGGAGTCCGATGATGTACAGTTACACCATCTGCTGGTTCCCTCTTTTGCATTCTTTGCATTGATGCTTTGTTCTCTTTTTCCTAAAAAAAAAATTATTTATTTAACTTTTTTATTATTATTTTAATATTTCCAGTGAGAGACACACACACACACACAGAGAGAGAGAGAGAGGGTAAGTGAGAAAGCAAGCCTCCAGGTCCCGGACTCAAATCATGGTTGGCCATGTGGGAGTCCAGCGCCTTTAACCATCACACCGCCTGCTGGTCCCACTCGCTTGCTCTTTCTTTTCTTTTCTTATTCTTGTTATGGGTTTATCAATTTTCTTAGTCTCTTCCCAAACAATTTTAGGCCTCATTGAGTTTAGCTATAGGTATATGTTCTCTATTTCACTGATTTCTTCTTTCTACTTTCTTTGAGAAGAATTGGTGCTTACAGGAAAATTTATTACATTTTTGTTTTTGCTATAGAGTACAAGCGCTGGCCAGAGAGAGATGGGAAGTTGGGGGAAAGGGGGTTTGAAAAATCATCACTTGGGGCAACAGCCATACTGCAATCCATCCCTTCTCCTCCATTACATTCTTCTCTCTGGATTTTGGGTACACACCCACGCACACATGACATGATTTTTAAGCCACCCGATCCAGGACTCAAACGACACAGTTTGGCTATGTGAGATTCAGCACCTTAACATCACGCCACCTGCTTGCCCTGAAATGTATTACTTGTAAGCTCATATACAGAAAAGAAGAAATATGTAAAATCTATAATCCTTCAGTCCTCCCCCTTTTCTTTAGCATAGCCACTTCTTTATCTACGTATTGATTGGCTCTCCAAAGAACAGGCTCCTGGACCAACAGTAAGTCCACCATCACATGTTCAGTCATTGCTTTTTTCTCCTCACCCTTCCCTTATGCTTGCTTTAGGTTTATTTTATTGCATTAAAAAACTTCTTGAGTAAATGCCTAAATTATCTTCATTCATTCTTGATTGTAACATGTATATTGAAGTTAATGAGTATTCCTATGAGTAGTAATTTAGCAGAAATACACTATATTATTGTTATTAAAAAGTTTTCTTTATTCATGACACAACATGTGTGTGTGTGCAGGAGAAAGAGAGAGAGCGGCACTTTCCTCAGGGCCTGATCACACCACAGTCTCATTTCTTCAGTCCTCTAACTCATCAAACCTGGGTACTCATGCATGTGCATGGCATGTTTTAGGCAGACTGGGCTGGGTGTTCAAACCGTGGTCACCATGAGGCTTCTTACATTGCAGTTTGACACTGCACTGCCTGTGTCACTATGGCTGGGTCTATATCATTGAAATTTTATTGCTATCCTACAATTTAGTTTATATTTCTTTTCTGACTTTTGAGTTGTTCAAGAGAAGAATATTGTTTCTGAATGGTTAGTTTTTTCTCAAATTTAGTCATCATTTCTTTAAAATTTGCTATAGGGCACTCACAACTACACACACACACACACACACACACACACTCACGCATACGTACAGAGAGAGAGAGAGAAAGTGAAAAAACATCCCCCAGGAAGGATGGCCATGCAACAATCCCTTCTCCATTCTCTTGGGTTTTGGGGCATGCATGTACACATGCCCACGTCTTTCAAACCACAGGGTCCAGGACTGGAGCTGTACCATTGACCATGTGGGACCCAGCTGCCTGAACCCCTGTGCCATGCCACTGGCTCAAGTTTCTGTTGTTCTTTTATTGGAGTAAAGTGGGTTGAGATTTTCTTTATGGCCTACTGTATATTTTCATGTTTGTAGTATAGAGTCAATATGTCAATTAAATCTACTTGATAATGCTTTTAGATTCTCTGTTATCATCATGCCCTTCTCTGTGCTCTCTCTCTGACTGAGAGATATTAAAGTCTCTTACTACTGCTGTATTTCCGACCATTCAGATGTTACATCATTGGCTGCGTGACTATTCCTTGTGGATTTCCTGTTTGTCATAAGGTGCCTCCTTGTCTGATTCTCGTCTAATGGGATCCTGACTGGGGGATCAGGATCCCCTGAGCTCTTTTGTTTTCATTTCACAGGGAGTCTTTGCCCATCCTTCCCTCAAAACCATCCTGAATCGCTGTTTTTGAAGTTTTCTTTGGATAAATCTTTGAAAGTAAGACACGCACCCTGTGTGGCCTGACGGGCTCTGGGCATAACCCAGCGCATGACTTCAAAGCAGAATAAAAGGCCTGTGGATTCAAAGAGCTCTGTGAAGAAAGTGCTACTGAAAGGAGAGGTAGCATCTCCTTTGGGGGTTAGAAAAGGAGTGGCCTCCCAGCAGAGGTGACAGCCAGAATAGCCACAGGGAGAGAATGAGGCACTTGTCCTCTGGGAGAGCCACTAGGTGGACTCGTGTCACCTGCCTGCCTTCTTCCAGAGGCTGCCTTCATCTACTCACTGTCCCCACATCCACCAAAACAAAGTGGAGCCTGCAGGCCCTCGCTATGATCACTGGCACCTCCTGGGTCCTTAGACTGGGCTACAGGCAAGTGGGCATGGTCTGGGAGTGGCAGTGGGTTGTAGCTGGGCGAGTCTGACAACCAGCAGCAGTGAGCTAATCCTTGGAAAATGTTGAATGTGGTTGGAAGATTCAGCCAGAGGCTTTGCTATCTCAGGCAGGTGTCTGCAGGATTTACCTGCTGATGGAAGTTGCCAGCCCAAGGATCCCAGTGCTATAGCCCTGGCCTGGTGTGACCTGTGTTTCCCTGCAGGTGGCATCTCAAGGCAGGGTGCATGAGCACACAGAGCCACTGCAGGGGAAGCAGAGGCAGAAGATCTCTGTAGGAGAGGAGAAGCAGCTGCCCCTGCCCATGGGGGCTGCCATACTGAGTCACAGCAATGAGGTGCACACCGCAGGGTGACGACTCAGGCTGACAAACCAATGTCAATGCTCCAACAGCGAAGCCTGGCTCATATTCCATGTTCTTCACTCCCTTAGAGTCCTGTGTCAAAAATGTCCGTATAGGAGAGGCAAGCCCACCACTGCCCATAGGCAGCACCCTTCAGCTCTCTACAGGTCTCAGAAAGACATGAAGTACAGAGTTCAGGCACGGGTCCTAGGACATGTGGGCTTAGGTGGAGTCCAGGTGGCAGACCCACGCTTTGGCCCACAGATGCCTTGCCTGTTGGAAAGAACATAGCCAGATGGGGCTCTCTGAGAACCAGATGGGGTCTGAGGGCAAAGCCCTCATGCTGGGTTAGGGAAGGCACAGGCCATGCCAGTAGTGGCTGGCAGAGTGCAACAGGGCTATGTCTGTCTGAGGTGGGGCCTATAAGCAATAGGGTCTTCTGTGCTCCCCTGCCTCCAGTGGCTGAGCAGGATTCAGGTATGTGTACTGTTCCCTGGTGCTAGGAGCCTGATGCAGCAAGCACAGAAGCAAGCAGGGTCTCACTGGGCTTGGGGCTGGGTGTTGCTGGATGTTGCAAGCCTGCATTTTCCCAAGTGCACAGAAAGGCACATTTTCTGGTTGAAAAGAGCTGACGGTGGGCCTCCAGCAGCCTGGAGCCCATGGGGAGCAGAGCTAACTAGAAGAGTATTGCCCCCAGCCCAAAACCGTCAGCCTCTATTCCTTCCAGGTGGAAGGGAGCAGGGAGAAAGCAACTCTGGCAAATCAAATCCTGGGGCATAAATCCCTGCCCTAGGCCTCAGGCCCAAGGGCTCTCTCCAACCTTCCCACTCCCCAGTCCCCATAAGTGTGAGCTTCCTGAGGCCATTCTGAACAGGTGGGGACTCAATTTTCAATGAGGAGCCTGGTATCATTGAAGGAGTGAGTGTGGGTGGGTATGGGGGTAGTTTCTGATAAGGGGAACCAGAGCACAACTGTGCTCAAGTTGCACAAAGCAGTCAGAGAAGACTTGTCTCCTTATTGGAGGCTAGTACTGTAACAAAAGCTACAGACAATCCAGACTTACAATAGTTTGGCTTAACAATATTTTTCCTTTATAATGTTGCAAAAATGATGTGCATTCAGTGGAAAGCATACCTACACAACCATTCTGTTTTTCACTTTCAATATTCAATAAATTACTTGAGATATTCACTTCATTGTGAAATAGGCTTTGTGTTAGGTGATTTTGCCCAACCGCCAGCTAATAAAAGTGTTCTGAGCCCACTTAAGGTAGGCTTAGCCATGATGTTCAATAGGTTAGGTGCATTAAATTCAATTCCTACTTTCGATGTTTTCAACTTACGATGGGTTTCTTGGGACATAATCTCATAAGTTGAGGAATATTTGTAGTTTTATTGGGAAATATGAAACTTTTAGCAAATACAAGCCCTCTTTCTCGCGTGAGATTTAACAAGACTGTCAAGTTAGATTTTTTTTTATTATCAAAACAACAAAATAACCCCAAAAACCAAAAACCAAAACAAAAACCTACACAAAGGATTTCTAATGCATTTAGTGAATTATGGAGAATGAAAACTGAAGAAGCCCCCTGGGGGTTGAGATGATTTTTTTTGTTGTTTTTTTACTTTATTTACTGAGAGAGAGACATCCCAGGCAGGGTCTTCATTCTGCAATCCATTCCCAGCCTCAGCTAGCCAGGAACCACAGGCACACACAGGTGTGCACTCTCCTCCCCACCCCCACTATTACTCCCCCTCCTGGTGGATACAGAGAAACCTTGGGATGAGAACTCAAATCTCCCCGTGTGGCCTCAGTGTCATGGAGCGTTGTCTTACTGCTGCACCACTCTGGCTGGCCTGAAGGTGATTTCTGTACTGTGGGTAGGAATTTCTCATTGCTTTGATGATGCAAAGTGGTAAGAAGGTCTGCAGCAGGATGGGCAAGGACCAGACTCTGGAGATTACCACAGTGGAGTGGGTCCAGCTTCTCAGAATGCTCCCTGGAACATGCTTCATGAAATTCGGTTCAATTGCCTCTTTCTCCTTGGGCCTCCTCCTGTGCTCAAGTAGCACAAAGCAGTCAGAAAAGACTTGTCACCTGAACATTCCTTTCATGTGTTCCTCGCATGTGTCTGAGGGCCTGCTATTTCTAGGTGCTGAGCCAGGTGCCAGGGCCTTTTTGTGATGGGCTTGTCCCCACAGTAGATGCTGTTCCTGTGACCCCATGGGTACCGTCCCACCTGAAGAACCTCAGGGGCAAGGGTCCCCCATCCCATGGACCAGTGGTTTACTAGGGGACTTGGTTTGGGTTTTGATTTTAAGACAAGGTCTCACTGTTGAGGCCCTCTTGCCTCAGCCTCCCAGTTGAGACTACAAATGCACACCGCCACACTCAGTCCTTTTAAAGATGGTTGCACCATGTTGCCCAGGTCAGCCTCAACCTCATGATTCTCCTGCCTCAGCCTTCCCAAGTCTGCCAGCATGCCCAGCTTCTAAGTTGAACCAAGAATTGAACCTGAGCCTCCCATGAGGTCCCAGGCTGGCAGTAGATGGGACCCAATGTTCTAGTATCTTAGCAGCATGCCACCATGGCTGGGCCTGTCTTGCTTTGATGGGCTTCACAAAACATAAGGGCTGGGATTTTCTGTGAGGAACGGCAGACTGCAGGACTATTCTTCTATAGGCCATTCACATTCTCCCTCTCCACGGGGAACTTTGTGTCTTCAGTCATTGACTTCTGAGAGTAATTTCTAGCCAAGCAGTCTGGGTTCTCGCTGCAGACCCAGCCAGAGAGAACCATGCTGCTGATGGTGGTGGTGGTGATGGTGGTGGTAATCGCAGCTGACTCTTAGTCTTTTTTTTTTTTTTAAGTATGAGTTTATTTTTTTTTGATTGCCAATTTTTTTTTATCATCATAATTTTCTTTATATTACATTGGATTACATATAACTTTACAGCGTATTACATTGCTTTTTCAAAAGGGAATGCCATGCATGTCAGTCAATACAGAGACAATAATCTCCCCGCTTCAACATTCAATATTTCTGTTTTCCCCAATCAGTATTATTATTATTCTAATTATTTTTTAAAACGGTCAATCGCTATTTCTCATTTTGCTTGTAAAAATACTTTGCCCATCGTGAAGTACTTCTCAGACCAATCCAGTTGAGAATACTATACATGTCATCATCAACAGTTAATAAGCCCTGTTTCTCACTAACGTCCTACCTCTCTATTGTTCACTTGCTATCTTTCTCTATCCTCTTCTCTTCACCTCCCCCATTCCACACTGTCCTATTCTCACTAAGTACCTTCGCTACTTTTCTCTTAGTCTTTATTGGAGGCTAGTACCATGCTATGTGTATGAGGGTTCTTCGGAAAGTTTGTGGAAAATGAATTAACGTACACATTAATTTGGGGGGGCTAGCCTCATGGCACAGCAGTAATGTGTTGTTCCAGAAAAGTTGGATCCCACATGACTTGAATTCCTGGAGTTGTCAGCCTGAAACATGCCATTCCAGACATATACATGCATGCCCATGATCCAAAAGACTAGAAGACTGGAAGGAGACTGTGGTGTGACCAAATCCTGTACAGGGTGCTCATCTCTCTCTCTCTCCCTCCAAGTCCTCCTTGTGTTCCTCACTCACCCCAAACTGCTCCTCTTGCAGACACCTGGGAGGGGCCAGGACGCCACCCTTCCTCAAAGGCATCCTGTTCATCCTACCCGCACCCCATCCATACCACATTAGCCTTTGCCAACTGAAGATTTGTACTGCCCAGACTATGAGGTCTTACCTCTGTCTGTTCAGGGCACCCAACAGGTGGGCCCCCTCCAGCAAAATGCCTGCTCTGTAGAGCATCAACCC